TGCTTGCAATCTTCAGGGCAAGGTCTTCTTGACAATGCATCTGCATTGCCATGAGATTTCCCGCTGCGATGTTCGATCACAAAGTCGTATTCCTGCAGTAGTTCAATCCATCTCGCAACTTGTCCTTCCGGATTTTTGAACTGCAATAGCCATTTCAGTGCAGCATGGTCAGTTCGTAAGTGGAATTTCCGCCCTAGAAGATATTTGCTAAAATGCTGCAAGGACTTTACCACAGCAAGCAATTCCCGTCTTGTGACACAATAGTTCCTTTCCGGCTTTGACAACGACTTGCTGAAGTACGCTATCACAATCTCTTGATCACCATTCCGTTGAGACAACACACCGCCAAGTCCTATATCACTTGCGTCTGTGTCAACTATGAATTCCTTGCCCGCATCAGGGTACCCCAAAATAGGTGTTTTGCACAGGCGGTTCTTGAGCTCCTGGAATGCAATATCGCAACTTTCATCCCAGCAGAATTGTCGCTTCTCCTCGGTTAGCTTGTGCAGAGGTTTGGCTATATCTGCAAAGTTCTTCACAAATCGCCGATAATAAGAGCACAAACCCAAAAATGCTCTAACCTGTGTCTTGTCTTTTGGGACCGGCCACTCCTTGACAGCAGCAATTTTCTCTGGATCCGTGCGGATACCTTCTTCCGACACTACATACCCCAAAAAACTAACTTGCCGTTTGAATAGTGAGCACTTCTTTGGACTCAACTTGAGGTTGGCACTCTTGATCTTCATGAGCACGCGTTCCAGGTTTTGAAGGTGTTCCTCAAACGTACGGCCTACGATGATGATGTCATCCAAATAGACCAGACAAGCATCTCCAATTAGCCCGGTAAGTACAAGCTCCATCAACCTTTCAAACGTTGCTGGAGCATTGCACAATCCAAACGGCATGACTTTGAATTGCCACAGACCCTTTCCTGTGGAGAATGCAGTTTTCTCCTTGTCCTTAGGGTCAATTTCAACCTGCCAGTAGCCACTTTTCAGGTCCAGCGTACTAAACCACTTTACGCCTGTGAGCATGTCCAGCGTGTCATCAAGTCTAGGCAAGGGATAGCTGTCCTTCTTCGTAACGTCATTCAGGCGGCGGTAGTCAACACAAAACCGCATGCTGCCGTCCTTCTTCTTTACCAGCACCACAGGTGAACACCATGGACTAGATGAAGGTTCAATAACACCATCCTTCACCATTCCCTCAATCATGGTTTCCACTTCCTTTTCACGTGCTACAGGCAATCTTCTTGGCCGCTGACGAATAGGCAATACTTGTCCTGTGTTTATTTTGTGTTGAACTAAGCCAGTCTTTCCTATGTCAGCTTCGTTTGACGAGAAAACATTGGCGTACTTGAGTAACAACTTCTTCGCCTTGACCATTTCATTCGGGGAGAGAACGCTGCGACAGTCTTCTAAAAGTGTGGTCACTCTCGTTTGTCCATCCTTGCTAGGGGTCCCGGTCGATAGATATTCGCACCGACGCAACCAATCCACTTCCTCACTAGTACCAACCAATGTGCCTTTTTCTATAATCTGTTCCTGATCACAAAGGTTCAACACACGTACTCCTGAGATGTCGGTGGTTCTGACCAAGGTTCGAGCCACTTTCCATGGAAGGTCATTGTCTACCCTTTCCACGAGTACACAACGATGAGCTTGCCCAGGACTCCGAGGAAGACTAACCGGCACAATCGTTTCCGATTTCGGCGGAAGAACAATCTTCTTAAGGCTGTACACATTCCCTGGTAACGCCCCTTCCATGAAAAGTTCTTCTTGTCCACATTTCAAAACACCTTGCTTAACGTCGATCTCACAACAATTCTTCCTCATAAAGTCTAGGCCCAGGATGCAGTCGTCCATTATATCAGCCACGATGACATTATGCAGGTAGATCATGTTGCCTAGCTTCAACTCCATCTCCTTCTCTCCACGGACGGGTATGCGCTGACCAGTGGCTGTCACCAAATTAATGCGTTCTCGGTTGTATGCGGAGTCACCAAGGAACCGACTTATAAGTTGGGAACTGACAACCGTGCGAGAGGCTCCAGTGTCTATGGTCAGTTTACATGGCGTTCCGTTGACTTCGCCCTTGATGATTAGGCTGTTCCCATCATGAGTTTGTGAGATCGAAATCCTTGGGGCTCTTTTAACATCAGCCAGCACCCGCCAGTTTCCCTGCTGCTGCTGGGCGGTGCTATTATCCGCACTAACCTCTCGAGATCGATCACCTTCCCTTTCTACAGTTCGTTTAGGGCAGCTGGATCGAAGATGGCCCCTTTCCCCACAGCCGTAGCACCTAGGGTTATAGCCCTTATTGCGGTCCTGAACTGTAGCTGCTGCAACCTCCCTGACGCGGTGGGAACGATGATCCTGCCGCACGGCTTCCACCTCCAGTGCATGGGTCAGGGCGTCCTTAAGCGTCTGGTGGTGCCCGAGCCTCACAGCAGCTCTGACTTCAAGGTCGCGGATGCCGTCGATGAAAGTCTGCACCAGGTTCCCTACAATGAGCACAGGTACAGACTGGTACGCTTTTCGAACTAGCTTCTCCACCTCAAGGGCCCACTGCTGCAGGTTTTCGTTACTGCGTTGCACGCGATCTTTGAGCTGCGCACGAAAGACGTGTTCCAGGTGAGCGTCGCCATATCTCGCCTCCAATGCCTCAAGGAGCTGCTCGTAAGTCACTTCCTTACCGAGAGCTTCAAGAACAGTTAATGCCTGGTCGCGCAGGCCTAGGGTGAGAGCAGTCATGGCCTGAATTTTATTCCAGCCGTTCGCTTTCATGACAGCCTCGAACTGGATTTTATAGGCCGACCAGGAAGAAGTCCCGTCGAACGGCGGCACTTTGAATCCACGTAGCGAAGGTGTTGTAGCTACCACGGGAGCTGTGATTCCATCCCCAAGTTTGAGGTCGTCCAGCGTTTTCTTCACATCAGCCATCACGTTGTCAACCCGATTGTTCACTTGGTCGATTCGGGTTTCAGCTTCCGACAGGCGGTTGTCATGTTGAGCAACCCTATCCTTCACCTCCTTTATCTCTTTCCCGAAGGTAGCGTGAAGGTCCTTCCTGAGGAGCATCTGTTCTTCCATACCGCGCTGCAGCTGCTCTTCCAGCCGACGGGTCTGTTCCTCCTGTCGGCGGGCCTGTTCCTCCTGTCGGCGGGCCTGTTCCTCCTGTCGGCGAGCCTGATCCTGCAGCATCATCATCAGAGCACCTAAGTCAGGTGCTGCAGATGCAGGAGCTGCTGACGGGCCAGCCTCCGTGGTTAGCAACTGGCCCTCCGACGTTTGCGGCGTTGCATTACCAAATCGTCTCTGGTCCGTCTCCTGTTGGCGTTGACTTCGGGTACGGATACCCTCCGTGTTGTCTTTAGGTAAAATCGGCATATTTGATCCCACTTCTGACACCAATTGTTACGCGCTTGTGGTTCGAGACAATTAAAAACTGCCGATTGAATTACCAAAATTGACACTTTAATTACACAACACTAATTACAATCTAAAATCACACTGATAATAAAACACAGTTCGCCGTTATTTCGCTTCGAAGTATTCTCTTGTATCGCCAATTCAATACTGCCCCGGTCGTGGTCTATACCGGTCTTATATAGGGCCTCAGATAGTTTCCAGAACCTTCTACTGTAGCGACATCTAGAATGTTCGAGTACATATCGGTCCCGAAATTTCTGGAAGGATCTCGACTCTCCTAGTTCTGCTACTCGACACTAGAGGGCGCTAGTGTGACTAGTGTTGCCATGTACAAGACATTAATAGTGGCGCGCAATACTTTCATTTACTCGACACTAGGGGGCGCTAGTGTAACTAGTGTTGCCATGTACAAGACATTAATAGTGGCGCGTAACAATATTCTAATTAGTCTATGGTCAATACCTGTAATATTACAGTTCTTGTGTGTAGTTTCAGGGTATTTGGCGGGAACTTTACAGGCGACGGATTGTTGCTCCTGTATTATTGTTTAAATAATTGTTTGAAATGGATTTTAATATGTAAAAGTTGTGCGATTTTGTGTATTAAATATCTGCGCATGTGAACTATTAATAGAAACGGTGAAACAAGTGCTTTGATGGTGATGTAATTCTCAAGATATGGTGTCTGTCTGCTTTGGCGCCTTAAGATACCATCGCCAACTTTCAGCTGTCTGCTGGCTCAAGTTGCCGTCAAAATCTTGCAAGGGCTGCACAATGTGACGCATCAACATATTGTGAAGCAGTATACTATGAAGGATAATAATTATACATTGTAACTTCAGGCTCAGAAGGGCTAGAACCCAGAGCTGTAAAGCCATAAATTAGAGATATAAATTTCTAAGTCAGTGTCAGTGCGCTAGCACTTCTTACTAGTTTGTGGTGTCAGTCAGTGGTCTGTTGTTTTGGTTTCATAAATTACTATCTATGGTGTTATTCATGTATATACACTTGCTGGTATACAGTAATCTGTGATATACACAGTAATCTATTCTGTTTTATTGTTTAAATAATGGTTTGAAGTGGACTTTAATATGTAAAAGTGGTGCGATTTTGTGTATTAAGTATTTGCGCATGTGAACTATTGTGGAAACTGTGAAACAAGTGCTCTGATAGTGATGTGATTCTCAAAGTAAGGTGTCTGTCTGCTTAGGCACCTTGAGATACCATCGCCAACCGTCAGCTGTCTGCTGGCTCAAGTTACTGTCAAAATCTCCCAAGGGCTGCACAATGTGACGCATCAACATATTGTGAAGCAGTATACTATGAAGAATAATTATTATAATATAAATATAATATTGTTACTTCAGGCTCAGAAGGGCTAGATCCCAGAGCCGGAAAGCCAGTTATTAAGAAGAAGTCTATGGTACTCTGTGGTCTATGGTGTTATTCTTGTTCGGTATCAAAATAAAATATTGTTATTAATTTGTTAATCTAATTTCAAGTAAAATAATAATAATTATCTATTTTATTTAAGTTGTAGCGAGCTGCTTCATCAACCTAATTTAGCAAAATGAGTGGGGCAACATCATCATCCTGGGAAGGTAAATTGCTGTATACAATTTTTACTTACCGGTGACACCTTAGTTAAAAAATTATGAGAACAATATGACGTTGCATCCAAGTTATGATGAATGTGCTAACGATGCTATTCTACTGATAATTCTTTGTTTTATTTCTTATCGTCTTATTAATTTGAAAGTTTAAATACCTAACGCGACTTTCTGTTTGACTTATTTAGAGTATGATAAACAATGTTATGTTATGTTCTAAATAAGTCAAAAATAAACGTGTTAGAAGCTTACTCTTAGAGTAAATTTCATAAGAACGGTAAAATAAGAATATCTTTTGTGTCTTGATATTTCTGGAGAACGGAGTTTAACTTGCTTTCTTGGATAGATGCTGATAATAATCCACTTAAGAAAATAAGGGAAGAAGAAGTAGATTTCATAACTAATATTAGTTGCAACTGTATAAACAGTGATATATGTGGTAAAGCCACATTGTAACACGGGTCAGCTTGATCGACAGAAAGACCACTCATAGAATACTAGCATAAATCTGCAGTGTTTTGCATAGTAAGTAACAAAAACCAGAGACTTATTTAATGGTTATGAGGCATTCTATGTTAGGGTTCAGTGGTGACAATACATCTAGAAAGAGTTTAGAGTTCTAGAGGTCATACTCAAATTACCATTGGATGGAATGGAGCTACTCAAACACATATATGAAGCTTGGGAGCTTAAAAAGTATGGGTATTTTGACTAAGTAATTTTTACACTGTTAAGCAAATTAAGGCTAAAAGAATGTAAAAGAAGTTATAAATAGAACAGTGTTTTCTAGAGCACCCTTAACCCATTTAAACCAATAATTATTTTTGTGAAAAATGTTTCATTAACAAAACCTGATCCAAGAAAGCCGGTGGAAAAATATTTAAATAAAATTAATAAGAGGGGGAGGCGACTGAGGGGGCATACCACATATGGTACAGTAGGACTATATGTATGCAAAAGACATGATTTTACTAATTAGAATTTATTTGCTTTTTGGTGTGATACATAATAAAGCACTATGTGGACTTTACTGACTGATATTGCACTTGACACACCTTGTAGGACATTGTTTGGCATAGGGCACACCTGGTCCTCTTTTCCTGTTTGGTGACATAGTGTTCTTTGCCATCATATCGAGAGTCTGATGTTATTGAAGATGGTCGACTAGGACCTGGTTTTTCGCGTTGTTTATTATTATTGATAATACAATTTGCAATACGATGTTGAAAATTTAGCAAGTCAATATTCCCTCCATTATGTCTGTACAGCAGCCATGCATTTTGTACAGACATGTCTATACAATGGAGAATCAGAGGCATATTATACCACTTTTTTCCTCAAATGCTAGTTCGCAATGACAGTATATTCTGATGTGATAAATCTACTCCACCCATATTTTTATTGTATTGTTGAATGAGATGAGGTTGAGAAACAGATATTTTCTTTTTAAGTTGCTGAGAATAGCGTTCAGTTTTGTGGACAGGATCAACACCAACTGCATTATAGCCCACTCAATGAAGGAAAAATAGGGGAAATAACTCGTGTAAAAGCGATTTTTAGCATAGTTGTAGGGAAAGGTGTTTTAAACAACATACTCAAAGTACTGATGGATGGGGGTGAAGCTAACGGGTAGGGAGGGGTGAGAAGGTCCCTTTTTTAAGTTTTTCTTAAATAACTCGTAAACGGTAGCTCATAGCAAAAAAATTTATTTCACTTAAGTAATCTACATAAAATTTTCTACAAAAAAAGTTCTATACACTTTTTCGCTGGGATCGATATTTAATGAGATATGAAGAAAAGAAAATGGACAATAATAAAATAAAAAAATCTAATTATATTCTAAATCTAAAATATCATTATCAAAATCATCGTCGACGGTGTTTTCGGTGGGAGTCCCATTAGTACAGCCGGAGCATACACCGCAGACACTGGAGCAGGCAATTCCTGCTTTCCGGCAACCGCATCGCACCCGACACCCAGTCGTGCATCGGCAAAATATGGTGCTGAGAATGGAGTCAGGTGTCACTGGATCGTTGGTTATCATTGGCTTTAGGATGCCATCGTCCCTCTGGCCCAACCCCATTGAGTAGGTGGTAGGGGGTTGCCGAGCCATTGTTGTATATGTAAAATAAGCAATAAGATCAACGTAAGTATTTAGCTCAAATATATATTTATATTACAGTATTTGACAACTTCTGTGATTAATGATACCTGTAAGTACACTCTCAACGAGTGCTGCTTTGAAGCTCCTCTGGTGGGAGAAAGAGTGGCCAGATCTGATTTCGGCTTCATCGATGCTCTCAAAAAAGCTGAGTAGCGGTATTTATTGAGATTTTGTTCCTGGACAGGCACTTGGTAAATTGCCAAAAACAGTTTCTTACCAGCGTGTTCAATACTCTCAGGTGATGTTGAAATCCCACTGAAAATGTCTGAGATGTTTTGGGTCAGGTCTGGTTTAGCCGTGAACAGCTTAGCAATTCCCACTTTGCTCTTGCCATAGATTGCGGAGGTGGTGTCGCATCCGGAGAAGCTGTGAAGAAGGAGAATTGTCTTGCCAAATGGAAGCTGTTGAAGTTGTCGCACTGAAAACAATTTGGTCTCCACGTTTCCACGCCCTGGTTTCATAAAGAACACGTTGATATTTGGTGGAACTAAGACTATCAAGTCGACATCTTCCCCAACTATTACAACAGTTGGATGAACGGTAGCCTTATCCAACCCGCACCTGACAATAGTATCATCAGCATCTCCTGTGGTTACAGTTATTTCAATCCCTGCTGCTATCATTTTCTCGGTGAGAAACACAATCAGCGTCGTTTAATTCTTCTCATTGGCGAGAAAATGCTCCTGTTGAACAGTGATGATCGTATTTTCATTACAATTAATGTCAACCGACGTTAAAGTCAGACCTCGTCGATTCTGCTCTGATCGTTTTGTACTGTTGACATCACTGTAACCATCAAAAACCACCATACAATTTGGACTGTAATGTTTCTGTATGTAGGTAATATACTGATGCCAAATCGAAGAAACGTTGGAGAACGGTTTCCATTTCATACGGTGTAGTAGGAAACCACCATATACCACATTGTTGGTTTGGTTTAGATCGAGAGCTGCGTTGTTCTCTACTGGCAAAACATCGTAGGGGGATGACTTCTTCCCTTTTCGCATTACACCTTCGTGAAACAGAGCCATGGGGAATGGGGTTAGTTCATAAGTCAAAAGGTCTCCAACATCTTCGTCATTCTTTTTTGCTATGACAGTTCTTTGGAAAATAGTTAAAGGGTTAACAGTAACTGTTTCAACATTGACTTTAATGCTACTGATCATACCGGCTAGTGACAAAACCACATTCTTCTTAGACTGCTTCTTGTCACTGAATTTGCTGCTAATTAAATTATGCATCATTTTGGTGCCAATATGGCTTGGTGGCAGTTTAGTTTGGAATTTCCCCGTTGCCCGTTGACAGGGATATTATCGAATCCAACTTTGGAAATAGAGGATGTTCACTGAACTATTCCCGAACGTTAAAACGCGAGAATTGATCATAATTAACTTTTCTCCTTTAATATCTAGTTAAATATTGATCACAGCGAATAAGTGTATAGAATTTTTTTTTTTTTCATTCTTTGTCGAAACGGCTGACTGCTTACTTTATTATTGCTAAAGTTCCTCGTTAAATATATTGTTTTATAATTAATTTGAACTTATTGTCACTTTAAAATCATACAGTATTTACAGTATTATAAAAGTAAAGAAATTAAAATATATTTATCATTAAATAGTGTGAAACATAGAAGATAATTACAAAAGTATTGTAAACATACAAGATCACGCCACCATTAGAGTGGCCTGTCGGCGACAAGTTACTGCAGGGAACCACAGCGGTTAAGCGCAACGCACAAGAACTACAACTGCGTGCGGACTGCACGGTGAGTCACTCCTTACGTTGCTCGATCTACCCAACTAGAGTAAATCACACAGAAGCGACTGCTTGTTTTTCTCGTGCGTAATTGTCTCCGAGAGAACGTAGTGTTTGTTTTAATATCATAATGCGGTGCGAAGGGTGCTTAAATGATATAAAAAGCAAAATTTATTTTCGATGCAGTAAATCCGATTGTGACAAAATATACTGTACATTATGTGCAAATTTACCAAGTACTACAGTGAATGTGCAATCTTGGACATGCCCCGCATGTATCGCACAAGAAAAAAAGACTGGCAACAACAGCTCAACGCCAGTACGTACTTCCTGTCATTCACAAAATGTCACCATGCGAAATAAATTCAACCCTAAGACTTCGACTGAGCCGTCCAACTTGGGAATCAGTGAGTTGACAACCGAAATTAAGCTACTAACTCAGGAAATATCATCGCTTAAGTGTAAACTCGATGAAGCAATGACATCTTTAACTCGCTGCCACGAGCGTTTAGATGAACTCGGTAACTCTATGGCCTCAACGAACACTCGTCTAGCTTCTGTTGAACAACAACAGGCCGAGATCCATCCACTAAAAGCCGCAGTGAGTCAAATTCAAAAAAATCTTAATATGATGGCTCAGAAACAATTATCAAACGAAATGGAAATAATTGGCATCCCAGAAAATAAAAATGAAAATCTGACTCACACTATCTTGGTAGCATCACGCAAGATTGGAGTGGACTTGGCTGATATAGATATTGACTGGGTGGCGCGTGTTGGACCACGACGTGTACCTTCGGTAAAACCATCAGATCACGACTCTGAAAGCATTTTCTCACGACCTGTCGTCGTTCGTCTGTTGCGTCGATCAAAAAGAGACGAGATTATTAAAGCCTCTAGGCAGAGACGCAACATAACTAGCATTGATTTAGATGTTAAGGGACCGTCTTACAAAATATATTTCAACGAACGACTTACTAGTGAAAATCGGCAGTTATTTCGAGAGGCACGGAAGATGTCTAAAGAATGTGGCTTTAGTTACTGCTGGACAAATCGCGGTAGCATTTAC